TTAAATTTCCGGTAATGGGCGTCGTCTGGACGAATGTCTTGGCTGATTCAACTTTGACTTACCGTGCATACATGACTATCCGGCGCAGTTGTCGGGGTCGGCGTTCGGCTTCTTGGTCGAGAACCCCCCCTCCAGACAAGAAATAAACTAGTTAATAAGTGTAACTTGATTTCATAGCGATGGGGCTTTGGCATTTATTCGCACGCGTTTGGTGGCCCGCCACTTAGTTGGTGTCTGACTGTCATCCCACGGACTGATGAAATGGATAACCAAAAGGTACGAACTGAATGGAAANCCAAAATTCACTGGGTGAGTGGAAAAAAGCGAGCAGTCTGCACTGCTCACGAACGCGGGAGCTTGGTTTTTGCAAAAGCCACAGGTCGGCAGACTTTAACTAACACAAATGATTAAGTGCGTCTCTGTGCACGCGTTGATACATGCGTTCACTCGGCCATTTCTCTGTCAATTAAGACCTTTGGTTTTTTTCAATCGATAGCTTGTTTTTGTTGTTGTAGGCAGCTGGTGGTCGCTCAGTTGTTTTACTCTTGCCCTGTACTGCGTCCTATTTAATAAGCAACAAATCGTACTCTCCTCATTGACGCGGAAGATACGTAGGGAGGTGGGGTGGGGGTAGAACGGAAACGTGGTGTCATAGTTCCCCTAGGTGGACATCAACTGTGAAGTTTTTGGAATACGATGTTCGTCCAGTGCTCATTAGCCTACTTTACTTGCTGGCGAATTGATCTACTGCTATCGGTTAATAAGATCGGTTTTTTATCCAATATTAAGTAGTTTGTTTTTATTGGTGCAGATTTCACCTTCTGCTTGACTGGTTTTTATTTCTCCAGCCTCCGTGTCTGCTCTGGAACGCAAATTCCGGGAAATTGAAGTCTCTTCCTTGCTCATTTTCAACCAGTCCAATATGGAATTGTTGTTCGCTCACAGTTTTTACTACAGTCAAACCCTAATCGAGGTGGCTATCAGTATCACTTCGATCAAGTTGGAGAATAGTAACGGTTCTTCGGGAGTCCTTTATGCGGTGGGCACTGCATTTCTGGTGGAAGAAGAATCTGAACCGTCCAAAGGTCGAATTCACCTGTTCCAATGGGATCCGGAAAAGTGCAAATTGGAAACAGTGCTGGTTCACGATGTGAATGGTGCCGTATATCGGCTTGTCGATTTCAATGGCCGAATATTGGCTGCCATA